GCTTGTATGGGGTGCATATGTAGGGAATGTGAGTTGTCGTCAAGGGGCTGTTCCTTTGATATACACGACTGGTCGACTGGAGTTCTTGACGAAGGAACGTGCTGAGGAGTTGCTTCAATTGGTGGCAAACTTGCTTCATCCGACAACCTGTACATTTGATATCAATCCACCAATATATATATATATACCATATATACAGTATACCAAACAAACGATGGGCGAAAATTCAATCGAAAACACATTTCAAAAATATATATCACTAACAACTCACTCATGGATATAATAGATACGACGGACATATCAATCCACGAATCTAGACAAGATATAAATAAATGAAATGGTGAATAATACTCCACACAAAAATATATACATTACAAGATCGTACATATATACACAACATGAGAAATATCTACCTCTCGGGGTGGGTCCATTTCGCGCGGACGTGGAGGATGGCGACTGGCGTGGCTTCCATCACGGGCACGTATACGTCGCACGTGGTGAACGGTTTGTACAAGGTCGTTGTACGACCTCCGACGTCGTCCAAGTGGTTGGCATGGGTCGTCCAATCGGACATGGTGTCGCCACAGACATCGCACTCATACAACAGTGTCGCATGGATCAAGTACTGCAAACTCAGCAACGCGTGGCCAACACAGATGGGGGGGTTGTCCGTAGTACTAGTCTTTGAGCTCTTGACCAGCACATGGAACGTCACTGGGAGTTGCAAGTGTGCCGACGACAACCGGTCAAAGCACATGTTATTTAAACCAGTGAGGTCGTGCTCGGCAGTGTTTTCAGATAGCAAAACCCCCTCGGATCTTACTAAATCGTACACAACAGACACCAGCGTTATGTACTGCCAGGGAACAAAAGAAATCAATAGAATGAAATACTCGAATGGACAATTCAATACTGAAAACAAATAAATAAATCATTGCCCAGGCGCTACTCTACTGCTGGCAACTTGTATTTGTCGTACCTTTGTACCATGGAATTAAATTTGAAGAAAATTTATTTAAATATTCGAATTGTATGATTGATTCAAGATTGTATTGAATTGTAGGATTATATTC